AACACACGTTTTTATGTTAGAAAAAAATACGTGTTAGAAGAGAAAAACTTTGCATAGTGTTATTCAATTCCGATTCACGTCAAGTGAATTTGAAAATCAAATCACTTTGAAAAGTAAAGTCTGCACTTTAAAATTTTTCTTGAAAACAGGGAATTTGTGGAAAAAAAAAACGAATTTCATATTCCTTTCGGCTATAAATCATAAGTTCGCTACCAGAAGCAGCCGAACGAAGGTGGAATCTATCATCTGAAGCTATATATAGTGAGAGAATCATCCACTACCTTTTCTCCAGAAATTCCTTCCCAAAGTTTAACCAGCTCATGAATGTACTCCATTGTCTTTCGTCGCATTGTGCCGTTCTTGTCCTGCTATTTGCCCGAATCTCTATCGATTTTTCTTTATTTTCAGGTATGCATCAAACCGTCCTGCTGTTGTTAGCGTTGGTTGCATTATCATACACATTTGGAATATTCGCGCGACCATCCGCATTGGATAAAGAGACGCGACAGCGGAAATCTAGACAAGGTTCCCTCAAACTTTGCCCACCAGGTAAGGATCTATAGTACACATAGGATCGATTCGAATAACTATTAGATTATTTGAATGATTCGAAACCGAGTAAAACATAAAACATAATACATTAAAACATGTAGTCAGTAATTTAAAGATCAAATTGCTTGAATATCCGAATCTCGAATAATTGAATATTCGATACTATTCTGATAATACGGTTTTTAAACTACTAATTTCGAATACTCAAACATTTGATTTCCCAATTATTCGATTATTCGGAATTTTTCCTAGAATTCCCAATGCATGATAAACCGCTATTAAGCCATAAAACCTGCACTTCTTGTTGTTCAACTTAAGCGCGCATTCCACAATTTGAATAAATTACCCAGAAAAATCCCAATTCTTGCAGGTGGACCTTCATTCCTCGATGCGTTCAACTTGATCTGTCCGATGCGAAGACGACGACGGAGCCCCGACTATGCGCTCGAGGAAAGCAGCTCACTCGAGAAGATTATGCACAAATGCTGTGACGAAGGTTGTGAATTCTCCGACATCTTCCCAATTTGCAATCCGTTCGGATGAAACGGACTCTACTAAAATCGCTAATATCAACACTCCATCATCACTGGCAT